CACACACGCACACACACACGCACACACACACACACATACACACACACATGCACACACACTTTCACACACACGCTTAGACACACACGCTAACACTCAAACTTACACACACTTTCACACACACATACACGCTTACACACTTGCACACACAAACACACACTTAAACACACACACGCTTACACACATACACGCCACATACACTCACATACACGCAAACAAACACACAGACATTACCGCGTTATGTATTGTAGGAATTCAATTATATGGTCAAAGTTCAACTTTAACTGCTGCAGTAGTAGCGGGAAAGGTATATTCTAGTGTTATACTGACTTGTAAGCATTTCACTCATTTACCTTTACCTGATTGCTTTCTTAAGTAGATCGTGGCACCGGCCAGGAACTTGAGCTTTTGAAAGCATTCTTCGAAGTAGAGCGTTCAAATTTATTAGTGGCACAAATTCTAGGATTGGCAGTACGCGCGAGTGCTGGTAAGCCATCAAGAAAGCAAAATCAAGCGGGGTCTCGATAATCTAAGGGATAGAGCACGGTACCCGCGAAGCACGAGTACGGGTTCGAATCCTTTCCGAGACTGAGGTTTTATCCATATGCCGAAAACCTTGCGAGACTTTCGGAACGCGTACTGCGGCGAAACAACAGTAGTAACAAAACATCAAGTCGAAACAATTTGAACTTTTCATGTGCGAAATCAATCGATAGCAAAACATATTGTTGGATGCGTAGGCACTTGGAGGGGTTTCCGAAACCATAGATCATTTACGATGCGATAGGGATTTCAGAAATCTCAACGAGTCTCGCAATATCGTCCTTCATAAGAAGACCAACACAAGAAATAGTTTTTGTCAAGGCATATAAATGCGATAAACCTTGGCAACAATTTTTCGCGCAGCTTGTGAATAGGGATCAAAAGATCATGGGTGGATTCAACATGACCGGAACAAGATTTCTTGAATATCTATGTACGTATTTCCTATACGATTGTCATGTTTTCCGTTTTCCGAAAGAAAGAGGGTGCAGAAAGAGTGTCGCCAGTCTGTGTATTTAGTTCACGCTAAGCCGAGGTCAAGGATGAAAGTTAGGTTCCATCTGGAAGCGCATCACATCCTTCAAGACGCTTTGATAAAGATAATGGAAAATCGCATTGTTATATACTGAAGATCTTTCTTCTCAGTGTCTTTCGAATTTGAGTGAGTACTGTAGCTGCAGAAAATTACTTATCAACGTGTCGGAATGGCAGCATAATCCGAAAACAGCTACATTTCAACGGAACTTCTTTTTTCAATTGAGTGTCTCAAACCTTTCAAGGATGAATTCAAGCCACAAAACTTGACCAGATACTGCAAAGTTAAATAGTGTTTACCTTCTGAAAATGAAATATTGAAGTAGGGTGTGAACGGAAGTAATTATTTTCATAATGGGCGAGCTCAGTCGTGTAATTTTCAATGAGGTCATTATATGCTGAGACCCTGATCACCGAGACCATGTGTTTGTGCTTCACTTAAAAAGCAAAATTTGGTGGTTTGGCGCGCACTCGGATCGATATCCATTGTCCAGAATTTTAGAGGAGATAAGTTCTGCCTTAGTTAATGTTTCGCTCGATGCCTACTGCCGAGGAGCCACTCCTCCACCACACCCACCAACAACAACAACTCCGAAAAAGCAAAAGATGGGAGGTTAGTTTTGACTAGAATCTTTAACCTTGCCTTGAGCGTCGAATTTTTTCTATCTATGTTTTACTTGACTTCGTATCTGTTTTGCTTTTTCCGTTGGATTTCGTTTTTTGAACTATCCTTGCTTTCTATAATCGATACTATCCTTTATTTTGCTATCAGCATCATGTCATCAGAGCCACATTGAAGATGTTGTTACAACTGATCGAATTGTATCCCTGTCTTATTAGGTTGGTGCGAAAGAAATGCAGGTTTTTCTACCTTAAATCTAAATTACTATAACTTAGCTCTAACAACATTTATTTAATCAAAGTAATCACCATTACAATTAGCACACTTTTGCCAACGAGAAACGAGCTTCTCAATACCAATATCATAGAAGTCTGGGGTTCTGGAAGCAATGAACTCATTGAAGGCAGTTTCTGCATCATCTTGGTTACTGAAGCGTTTTTCCCGCAAGAAGTTGTCAAGGTGCTTGAAAACGTGAAAGTCAGTAGGTGAAAGGTCTGGCCAGTGTGGTGGATGATCCAGAGATTCGTAGTTCAATGTATGTAGCTTTTGCCGTATGATCAATGAGACGTGAGGTCTAGCATTATCATGAAGCAATTCATGCGGAACCCATTTGTCAAACTTCTTAGTCTTCCCAATTTGCTTCATATGGCGAACAATTGTAGTGTGATGGACATTGAGTTCCTTCGCAATGTCTTGTGTCGTTTTGTGCGGATCAGCATCGACGGACGCCTTCAATTGATCGTTATCAAGTGTGGGTAGACGGCTGCCATGTGGTTCGTCTTCGAGGCTGGTGTTGCCGGCACGGAACTTTTGGAACCAACGTTGTACTGTGCATTCGTTGACACTTCCCTGGCCCCATACTTCGTTGATATTTCGAGCGGTTTGAGCGGCGGTCCGTGAAAAAACCTGCATTTTTCTGCACCAACCTAATACTTCATCATACTTCCTATTATTTCAGTGAATTCTGACAAGTGTTTCTTGGAACTACCAAATTTTGTTTTGGAAGGAACGGCTTTGGCAATTGAAACTGAAATTAGTCATCAGGAATGCAAATGTCGCTGTCTGGTTGGAGAATCGAGGTCAGCTGCACTGGCAGATTCGATGACACTTGCATATTTGATGAATCTTTTACGAGATTGGTGATATTCAAGGTATGGTGAAGCATGTCAATCCTTCCAGTACTACTTCGATAGCAATACTTGTCTGATTTACAAGCAGAACAGGTGAGAGGGACTCTGTAAGTAGTACCAAACTCATAGGGTATTAAGAGCATGGTAAAATGCATTCACAATTATTAGAAATTCTTTCGTATGTTCTCGTATTGCACCTTCTGTTTTTTCTCAGAAGTCTCGTTTCAGTCAATTCATTGCTATGTTTTGCACTGTTTGATCTTCAGACATGCCCACAAGGAGCTCCAGTCGAAGAAATACATATAGCCAAGCCGACAGTTGACTCAAACTTTACTTCTCCTCAGAAGGAAACGATCAATGATGTAACCTAAATCAAATAACGATCTCTTCCGAACGTTCCCCATTTCAGTTCTCCGACAGCTTGTGTCGTTTTACTTTGAGACCTGGCTTTCCAGTTCTCCATGAATGCACGTCAACCAAAAGGATCCTTCCAAACTGAAATTTCGCTCTCATTTCCTCATGAACAACGATTCTTCGCTTGAATACTTCAGACTACATTTCTGTTACTAGACCGGGTGCCAACCCTAACTGTCATCTCTTCAGTCTTGCTCGAGTTTCTGGAAACAAAATTACGGTGAGTCTATGTATCTACAAGAAAATCACTTTAGCGCCCTATGTTATTCGCCTTCAACAACGAGTTCAGCGCCAAGAAACTCCATATGTGCGCTGTGCATATTACCCCGTGAGGGAGCGAATAGTTAACCAGTTATTCGCGCAATTGATGAGCGGTAAGCTCGAGCTAAAAACCGGATTCTTCATGAGCGCCAGACGAACTCGACTACAAGTGTTGCAATCGCATCGGTGCCGCACCTTCTGAGCTTTCTGGACAAACTTGACGTACCCATAATCGCAGGTACTTTATCGGATCGTGACAAGCGATGAGGAAGGATGACTTCATCTGAACAAGAAATGTCGGAAGGAACGAGCCTGTTCTAATAGTTAAGCCACACCTTGAGTGAAGCAGGAGCTGCTCTTGCGCGAGACACTGCTCCGCATCTGTTGGAACTGGAACGGAAGCATCTGCTAAGAGCTGCTTGGGACTTTTAATTCTTGTGCACTACGCCCTGCGCTGAATAACGCGTTATTTCAACAGTGCGATCCAGAAACGGCCAAGTGATCAAGGCTATGTCATTCACCAACACGACACGCACATCGGGTCACTTCGGAAATACTCAAAAGGGGAGCCCCACCGCAATAGGCATATCCTGGCGATTTGGTGCCATCGAACTTTCACCTCTCTTTTCACTATGGAACACTCTAAGCCGTATCTGCTTCAAGAAGGGCTCTTAACCATAAGTTTGGCTTGAAGATTTCCTCCAAACTAGAACTGTTTTCTCTACTGTCGATGACGAAAACTGGTTGCGCCTTGGGAAGACGTCGTCAAAAATGACTGAGAGAACGGTGTTGGATCGGTCACTTACATTCTAGAAAAAGATCTTGAAGTTGTCAAAAAAGCTGAGAGTACGGCACTGAATTATATTCAATATTTAGTGACATTTCAGAAAAAATCGAAGTGATGTCGTCAATGGTGGCAACTACAGTGGGTAAGGAAAATTACTCTTGACACGCAATTCGAGGGTGTGGAATCTTCTCCCCAAAAATGGCGTCGCTCCCGCCGCACGCGATCGCGCGTTGTCAAGGGAATGGTCCGAATTCCCAGTGGAAGGATGCGGCAGCCGCCGTGGACCAGCTGCCACTTGCCGTGGGGATTCGAGTAGAAGTTTACCACGCAGTTCGATGTATTGTATAAACTAGCGTCAGTAGTTGGGAATAGTTGGGAACTGTTAAGGGAAGTTTCAGATTGGAAGGAGCCCTTTCGGAATACAGGCAGTCATCGGCTCGCACGGAAGAAACCGGAGTTTGAAATAAAGCGATCTAACTTGTTAGTAAACTAAACGTGCAATTCATGGAGAAAGTTTGAGTCAGGTGTCAGTTCGGTCAAAAATTCCGCCGAGCTCCCAATTAGCATGCCTGATATTCTAACAGTTGGCAACATCAATAAAAGTGGTAAGTACGTTCCATAAAGCAAACATTCCATTTCTGAGAACTATGGTGAGTGGTGACAGCAAGAATGAGTTTTTCAAAAGTCAGAATCTAAGTTAGAGAACGGTAAGTAGTCCCATCCTCATCCATTAGATGATGTTCTTGTGAAAATGTTGTGATCAGCTCCGACACTTCTCGGATACTTATCCGGTAATTCTCATCTCGCTATTTCCAACAACAGTATGAGCAACAGATGCCATGTAATCAAAAAGAATACTGATTCGAGCTGACGGCTAAACATGTGGGCCGTGCGATTTACATGTGAACTAATCGAAGGAAAACAAGCAGTCATCAGAAACAGTAGTGAACGCCTCTCTTATGCTTCGGGTATCACCTGTATCACCTGTCGTCCCCTTGATCGTCGATTTCTTCGAGTGGGCGCCAGTAACGTCTCCATTCGTCCCTGTCACGAGCCAGAGTGATTAAATTAACCGCCATCGCATATTGCATTAAGTGTTCGGCCCACCTGATCTTCGACTTCTTGGCGTAATCAACGACATCCCTGATCTTCGTTCGTTGACTGAGCTAGGAACTCCGGATTTCCCCCTGCATTGGCGTGTATAGGGGAATTCCGACCATCGTACTTTCCAAAGCGCGTTGAGTAATGCTGAGAGCATGCTCATCCTGCTTTCGTAGAGTCCAAGTCTCTGAGGCGTACGTCAAAGCAGGAAGAACAGCAGTGTCGAAAAGGTGAGCGCGGAGCCGGATGTTCTTAGTCTTCTTCACTACTCCCTCAATACTCTTAAATGCTCCCCATGCTGCGCGTTTCCTTTTGCACAGCTCCGGAGCTAGGTCGTTCATCATTTTGACTTCCTGACCTAGATACACATAGCTAGAACATTCGGAGACATTCGTTCTGTTTAGAGTGAAGGGACATCAGGTACCAATCCGTTTTTCATGAACATCGTCGTCGTTATGTTCAGTCATAGGCCGATCTTTCCACAAGCATAGTCAAATTCGGTCGGCATTCGTTCCGCCTGCACGATGTTCGGTGTCATGAGCACGATGTTGTCTGCAAGGCGGAGGTGATATAGATAGCGGTCGTCAACCTTCACTCCCATGCCTTCCCATTCCATGAGTCGCATGACATTCTCGAGAGTGGTACTGAAAAAGTTTGGGTGGGATGATATCGCCCTGCCTGACACCTCTCTTCACGTTGATAATGACTTCCTTGTAGAATGGTGAAATCCTGGTCGTAAAGTTGTCGTAGGGCTCACGCAGCATCTTTATATATTGAGTAAGAACACCCTGGTTGCCCAGAGCTTCTGTTACAGCTTCTGTCTCGACGGTGTCGAAGGCTTTCTTCAAATCGATGGACGTAAGACAGCGGCATTTTGTACTCTCGCGATCTTCAATGGGACTTGTAAGAGTGTGGATGTGATCGATTGTGCTGAACCCTTACTAAACCCTGCCTGCTCGCATGGCTGTTCTTCATCTAATATTCTGCCAATCCTGTTTAGAATGATGCGAGTGAAAAGCTTATAGATTACAGACAGCAGGCAGCTTGGGCGATAATTGCCAAAATCGCCTCGATCTCCCTTTTTATACAGCAACACAGTTTTGCTAATTTTCCACGACATGGGCACTTTGCCGGAGTTTTGAAGATAACTGGTGGGAGACTATCCAGATGTTCTGGCTTGATCCTATCGGGAACGGGCGCCGTACAGTTCCTCATCGACGTGTTGGCATGTCGTGTTTCGGTAGAGAAAACCGAAGGAGCGATATATTCGTATTGCCTAAGATGGTGGGTAGGGAGGTAGACGTGGCCGTCGAAGAGATCCGAGTAGAAGTCGTAGATGACCTTCTCCACTGCCTTTCGAGATGCAGTAACTGTTCCGTCGGGACGACGAAGGGAAGACATCTTGGTCTTGCAATTGGTGATTTTTGAATGCTCTTTCCGGCCTCGGCCGCTTCGTCCATAACTGCTGCTCTTCTCTCTTTCAGATCTTTCTTTGACGCTTCTCTGTATAGCTTCGCAAGTTCGGACGTTTGTTGATGATTGTCTGTAGCTCGCGCGATTCCACGCCGGCGTAGCAGCTCGAGAGTCTCCGAAAAGAATCGTCTCTTGGTTACTCGTAGACTTTCTGCTTTCCTAGCGCAATCGTGAAGATGTTCTACGAGCCGGGTGTATTCTTCGTCGATGTTGTCGATAACGGAATCTTCCCACTCACTCGCACGGGGAGCGGAGTGGCCCCAGTTGACGGAGGTCTTGGGGCTTCGTTTACTTAACTTCATAGCTCTCTCACCACGCACTGAGAGGCAGAATCTTGCGTGGAAGAGACGATGGTCCGATCCCGTAAAGAACTTTGGAACAACAGCGACTTCATTCAGGGATAACCTCCGATTGAAGATAATGTGGTCTTTTCCATTATGGAACTGTCCACCAGGTTACGCCCATGTCCATCGCAAATGAGAGGGTTTCTGGAACTGCGAGTTACCATGGATGGTGTGGGTGACATGGTAAACTCGGACAGCCTTTCATCCTGCTCATTCCACACCACTCCGTGGTTCCCGATGTGAGGTTCCTTATCCGTTCCTCTGGAGCCAATAATGGCGTTAAAATCACCGATGATGGCCGAAGAACGTGTGGTCTTCTCTGAAGAGCCTCTCCAGATCCATATAAAATGCTTCCAACTCCTATTCTTCGTAGCTTAATGTTGGTGCCTAGGCAACGAAAATGGTTAGAACTGGGGTTGAGCCACATCTTAATCGCAAACGTCCGATTTGGGTTGTTAAGCTTTCGTACGAATCGATGTTCATGGCCAAGTGCGTACTGACGAGGACACCTACGCCGCCGATGCCTCTGCTGACGCATGTTCCAAGGAACAGTTCATCTCCAGTCTCAAATACAGCGTGCAGCGGTCAGCCCCATGACGTCGTGCTTGATCTTCCTAGCTTGCATCATCAGGTCTTCTATACACGCTTCCTATGCAAGCGTCCGTGCTTCAAAAGTACGATTGTCATCTTAGTCCTTCTCTTTTTGGGCAGCCTGTTTTGGTGCCGAGATTTTAGCAACCTCTCCCGAGCGGACCTACCCAACGCTGCCGTATTGGGGCTCCCTCAGGTTCAAGGGAATGGGCCCATTTCTATTACTGTTTTTGGCGAGTAGATACTCAACGTGCAGCATGCCAGGCTATTACGTGGGGGCTAGGTTGACTCTGGGGGCTTGCCAGACTATCGCGAAGATGAAGTGGACGAGGGGCTTTGTTTTTGGAGGCGGCCCCGAATCGCCTCCCAGATACTTCCCAGTCACTTGAATACAAACTTTTGGCTGAGTTGATGGGCAGGATACCAACTGCACCCACAGACTCTCCACATACGTATGCCGTATGCGTATGCCTGCGAGAAACAGATGGTATATCGACTCATCGCAGCAGAATCAAGGAGTCCATCCCATCAATCCTCCTGCGTCTCTGGGCAAGTACTGGTGACTTTTGCTCGGCGATTTTTTCCCTATCTGCCACCTAGGAACGCCCTACGTAGCCTCGTCATTAACCGGCTGGGGATCCTTCAGTGAGAGAGAACCCAGTGAAGGAGAGTGAGAGAGAACTCAGTGAAGAAGATCCATAGCCGCTTGGGGTATGCAGTTCGAAAGGGAAGGACAAAGTGAAGAGGTCGTGGTTCATAGGAAAAGGCGAATCAGTGGTGTTTTATTGCTAATCGTCCCGCGCGAATTATCAAAACGAACTTCACGATTTGTACAGTATTCAAGATTGTCTTCAAATGCACATAACCCTGGTGATGTTGACCCGATTTCTTTTCATCTATCTTGAACTGGCATCTCCTTACTCAGATTAGCTGGTTCTTGAAGACACAGTTCACGATAAAAATGTGCTTGGACTTCCTCTTAGGATTACCCTGTGGCTCCCAAGGCTTACAGAAAGGACACTGTTAGGCCCGAAAGCTCAAGAGCTAGGGCATAACAGGAGCCCCATAACCGGATCAGTCGGATGCCACACCCATCGACCGATGTTATGCCAGATGAATGTCGAGGCGATACAGGTTGCATTATTCGCACCAGGACCCACACGCTCATGGTGCAATTAGCTGATCGCAGGGTGGTGAGGTGATGTTTTATTTGCTGCTTCTCCGTTATTTTCTGCTAATCTTTTTGCTGCCGCGCTCCTTTATCTTGTTTTTTTCCCCTTAAGAGGAAAAAATGTGGGTTATTTCTACTGTTAGTAGTGTTTTTTTCAACTTATGCTCATGGTCGAAGGAAATCTAAAGGGCATTTCTGCTTGCCGTGCTCAGCTGTTCGTACCTGGACCCCATTGTATGTAATGACATAAATTGTGTAGCTGTCCAAATACTTCCTTTACTCCATCCATCTGATCATAACCTCGTCCAGCCCCTTCTTTAGCGACCCTTTTGGGAGCCTTTAATCACTCTGAAAACACCGATTCGCGTGCTTCCTTCACCTGCATCGTACTATTCTTCACCTCCTATTTCATTTCCCGTCAATATCTGAATAACCCAGAACTATCGTGAACTGTGCCTATGAGTGCCATTTCCTCTTTCTACCCTCACCCATCTTCGCCATTCCTCCATCAAATAGAATTACTATAGAAACGATAGTGAGATGAGTACTTTCTAACCTCTCACATGTCTCAACACTCTCATTTCTCCTATTAAGAAGGTGGAGATGCAAGACATAGCCATGCGCCTCTTCGAAAGCTTGAGGCGAGTCTGTAGTGGTTTCGGAGAGTAGGCTGCTTCATAAATCCCAGTTTGTATCGATCGGTGTTTCTAAAGATATAGGAGGCCTCAGGAAAGTCTACAGAAAGGGAGTTGGACGAGAATAAAATCAAAAAATGACGTAGAAGGGGTGTTTGGGCGAGCTACATAATGTCTGTCATTGCGTACGCTGACTACCGTGAGCAGAATCTCTTCTAAAATTTATTCATTCGTTCTATACAAGCAAAAACACTAGCATAACTTACTGGAATGATTTCCGCAGCAGCAAAAAGACTAATAGAACGAGAGTAAAGCATGTGCTTGCCACCCGGCGATCAGCTGATTGCATGCTGAACTTGTGGGTCCTGGTGCAAATAGCGCAACCTGTATCGCCTCGACGCTCGTCTGAGATATCATTAGTCGATTGTTGTGGAAGTCGACCCGATACTGAGGCTCTCATTACGCCTTGTCTATTGAGTTTTGCATCCCGACAGCGTCCTTTGTGTTATTCTTGGGGTCAACAAGGTAATTTTAGGAGGAAATCGAAGGAACCATTTTTCGGGAACTGTGCCTTTAAGCGAATGACCCTCTCCTTCAGAATTGTTTACAATTATAGGGTTGCAAAACCCCCTTCTCATGCCGGAGATCGAACCCAGGACCCAAAGAGGACCACAAACCTAATCTTCAAATCACACGGTACACGATAGTCTACTTGACGCGCGCTCCGCGCAGTCGCTTCGTAAAACCCTTTTTCCATATGATATATAATAGAACAAACCATAACATATAAAACACAATCCATATATAGCAAAGATATGCTAGAACGTAAAGAGTGTAAGAAAGAGTGGGCAGTAAGATTCTGTTTCAGATTTTCAAATCCCGAAAGCTTTAACTTTGTACCAAGCTCGTTCAAACGCAGTTATTTCGAACATAGATGTGCAACAAGAGGTATTTTTAGCTCACTATAAAAACATTTTTAAAGTTTGGGTTCGTGAATAGATGTATATGGTATATAATAATATAGATGATTCTACATAAATCAGTTTGTTTATGACGATTCAGAACTCCTCAATATTTGCCTTCTTATACATCGCCCGTTTCCTGCTATCTATTTTCAGATGACGTTCGCACAAAATATTTGGCCAGTTCCTGCTCCGTTTACTCAGTTGGAGCTGAAAACAACACAGCTGATAATGAATTCAAGAAGGTTATTAATGCTTAGCTCTACTTCAGAGCAGTTATCTAGATTTCCGAAGCCGTTTTCAGAACCGAGTACCGGTGCAGAAAAGCAGAAGTCAGGATTCTGATCACGAAATAGGAAACAAGGAAGCAACTATGACACCAAATTTGAAGTTCAGGGATACAGAAGATGATGAATTTGTTGAGGCAAGGGATTCGGAAAAAGTAGGAATCTCTTCGAACAGAAACATTTGAAATCCATTTTTCTGACTTTGCAAATCGTGTATTTCTTGAAAATATGGTGATGGGGGAGGGGGGGGGGGACAGAAAAATATTCAAAAAACAAATATTGTAGTATACCAATCCTTAGCTTTGCCACGCTCCAATGTTCCCGTGAACTGAACAACCGATTGCAAACCACTACCAACCAGCTGTGGGACTCGTCCTATCTCTTTTCTAGTCCCATGTTTTCTGCGCTTCCGAGTAAATCAATATTTTATGTAGCCACGTACATGTACAATGTACAAGTACTATGTACATATATCTGTACATATAGGTAGAATGAGTGGTGATAACCAACATATATATGTACATATAGGTAGAATGAATGGTGATAACCAATCAACAAGTGAAATATAGCAGCAAAGCTGGTAAGCCCATGGACCGCAGAGGTATGTGAGATTCGCGCGACTTTCGAAGTAAAGAATACTTTTAAACGATTGATGCGAAGTTAAGGTTTCGAATTGTTAAGAATTTGAAAGACCGCTGGGAATATTGCTTAAGTTTACGACGCCATCCTTCTACAACATCCCTGTTGTAGGACTTTGTCTCTCTTTTTGAAACAGTTTAGATCACTTTTTTGGTATTCACCATTTAGTATGGAAAATGGCCCACAGTGGCTGTACCATTACTTTCTTGCACTTCTTAAGGGAACGCAGGGGTGTGTGTCAGAAGCGAGCCCTGAAACAACGAGACAAAACGTTTCTTTGATATGGTTTCTGTGATTCAACACAACAAATGCTCACCGTAAAACAGCCTTCTTTGAATTGCGTACATATGTCCGAAGCGGTTGAACAATTTATGAAGCATGAACGGTTGTGCTTATGCTATGATCGTCAATCTTCCCATAATGTGTTTTCCCAGTGCCTCATCAGAATTTGGATGTTGCCAAGGGTAAGCGAACGAAGAGATTCATCTCATGGAATAACTAGGACAGACCAAAAACGTTCCCATTTGTTTGCCGCTATATTTCGACGCGTAGCACTGGTCAAACGCGGAATTTTTTGGCTGCTCTTCATGGTTATTCATTTTTCCTGACGTTTTTTGTGTAAATGGATTTGCAATCTCCAAATAATACTATACACAAAGTGGGCCCAAAAGGAACGTTGTTAACTTCTTGAACTAGTGATAAACTCAATCCCTTACCTGTGAATCACATAAAGGATGAAGTAAAGTTTTTGGCGTCCATCAATCCCGTCGAGAGATGCGCCCCTGCACTCGACTTCCATTCAAAGTCGCAGTGGCGTAATGAGTGCGTATTTGGCCAGTACGATTACTTGCGGTGGCCAGCCGATGTACGAGTAAGTGCTTTTATCCTTGCAGACGAGTCTGGTACCAATTAACCGACCCCAGAGGGATGGAAGGCTTGGTTGGCATTAGCGGATATCGATCAGGGATTCGAACCGCTGATTAGCGTGTGGAATAGTGCGTCACTTCCCACTACACCACCTCCGCCTCGCCCTCCGCTTTTCTGATATTCTGCTATGTTGGCGCCACTTCTCCCCATTGAACGCTTGATCGGGGTGGATGTTAATCTCTTTAAAGGCACAGTTCACGATAATTTTGGGTAATCCAGATTATGATGAAAAATGGAAGACATGATCGAAACTAGTGCGACTGAGGTGAAGAAACTGCGTGCATCGGTGTTTCCAAAGTGAAAAAAGGCTTCGAAAAACCGTTAAAAAGGGGATGGACGAGAATGAAACCAGAAAAATGAAGAAGAGTGGGGCGTCCAGACGAGCTGAACAGTGTTTTTCACTGCGCGCGTGTGGGTCCTGGTGCGAATAACAGACAATGGTAAGCGAAAATTCATTCACTTGTAAGCATAAGTAAACAAAAAAATCCTGGTAGCAACAAAAGTAGCTCACCTCTTTCAGCCTCAAGGAGTACGAAATTAAATAAGGGATCGCGGCAGCAAAAAGAAAAACAGGAAAAAAGAATGGGAGAAAACATCGCTTCATCACTCGGCGATTGGTTGATTGTGCTGGGGTCCTAGAACGAATAATAGCAATCTGTATTGTCTCGACACTCGTCTAACGTGACACCGATCGAGGGGCGGGAAAGCGAACTACGGCAGCAACGGGGCTCCCACTATGCCCCTAGCGCCGAGATTGTGGGAGCGAGAGGGTCCCTTCTACCACCCATTGGGGGAGCTGAGTATTCCTGAAGGAAGAACTCAGTGACCTTTTTCATCGTGAACCGTGCCTTTAAGGTCTCCGTGCAACGTATCGAGCCAGCGCTGTTTTGGACGTCCTTTAGGCCGCTCTTCGGACGCGTTGAGGTTGAGACCGATCTTACGGGCACTTTCATTCTTTGCGTGAAGAGCATGACCATACCATCGTAGACGGGCTTCGCGCATTTCATCGACAATGGGCGCTACAGCGAATCGCTCCCTGATGGCGTCATTACTTATACGGTCTAGGCGCGTTACTCCGGCTGTCCAGCGCAGCATTTTGACCTCCATCACACTGAGACGGGTTTCAACTTCTTTGGTTGCAGGCCAGCATTCAGCGCCGTCAAATGCAACCGGCCGGATGACGGTTCTGTAGATCTTGAGACGCTCAGGGATGTTCTTATCGTAGAGTACGCCAGTCATTGAGCGCCACTTCAACCACGCTGCATTCACGCGAGAATTCGTTTCAAAACCCAGGCTGCCGTCAGACGCAACTGCCAATCCAAGGTACTTGAAGGTTGTTGTCCGTGTGAGCTCAGTGCCATGGATCTTGATAGAGCCTGACTCCCTAAAATCAGTGGTCAAGTACTCCGTCTTTTTGACGTTTAACCTGAGCCCGAACATAGCCAGACGGTCGGACCATGTCTGCACCTGTGACTCGAGCTCGCTTTTGTCTTCGCTGACGAGCATCACGTCATCGGCATAAAGAAGCGTCCACGGAGCCGGCTCCTGCATGTCTTTTATAATGGCATCCAGGACGACAACAAAAAGTAGTGGGGATAACGCAGAGCCTTGGTGTACTCCGACGGAGGTGGGAAAATCCGTCGATGTGCCCGCTGCCGTTTGCACTCGACTCTTTGGGCTAGTGTAAAGGATGCGTACTCATTCAATGAGCTCTTCGGGAACGCCATGCTGTCGTAAGGCATACCATATAACGTCACGTGGAACGCGATCGAAAGCCTTCTCCAAGTCTAGGAAGGCAAGATGTACCGGTCTTCGTTTCTCGCGATGCTTTTCTAGAAGGCGAGTGGCGTATATGGCATTGATGGTGCTACAACCAGTTAAGATACCACACTGGTTAGTGGCCAGCTCGACGATATTACGGATAATACTGTCTACAATTCGCTCAAAGATTTTAATGCTGTGCGAGAGAAAGCGAATTGGACGTTAGCTAGTGCAGTCCCCAGGACTGCCCTTCTTCTGCCAGGTAGGAATTGTCGTGCTCTGTTGCCGGCTCTCAGGCACCTTCTTCTCTGCGACGACCTGGTTGAAGAATTCCGTCAACCATCCTGCAGGATTTCAGCCTTTCGACTTCCACAAGTCCGCCGCTAAGTCGTCATGACCAGTTGCTTTGCCTGATTTCATCTTCAAAGCCGTAATGATCTCATCTACAGTTATCCTCTGAGTGGGGTCGTGTACTGTCGGAGCGCAGGGGATTGCGGGATAAGCGAATTCGACTGTTGAGATGTCTGAAAAGTACTCGCCATCGTTTCAGTGTTTGCCTGCGGTCCGTTAAGAGGTGACCGTTGTCGTCATTTATGCCAAAGAACTTTTTGTATATCTTCGGTCTGATGGCTGCGGGTCTTTGCGAGCCGGTAGACGTACCGCTTACCACCACGGGATTTTAGAGTTTTTTTTATTAAGATTGGCATAATGAGCTGCCTTCTCACAAACAACGGCCTTCTTCGCCTCTTTCTTCGCTATCTGTTAGCGTTACCAGTTGTCAGCCGTCTTTTCGATAAAAAATGCGTGGTACTGCTTGCTTTTTCTTCTCACGGACTTTATCCCTGATATGGTCCGTCCACAGCCATGTTTGCTTAGCGAGCTTTTGCCGTCCAGGCTTGGTCATGCCGAGCTTCAACCGCGCAACCCGAGTTATCGCTTGAGCAGCTCCCTTCCAAGTTTCGTCGACAGTCGTTACCGTTGACAATACGCTGGAAACGACGGCCGCCTCTTTCTTCTTCAGTCGCCACCACTTGATTCTCACTGGCCCACACCTTTCTGCTAATTTCGGTTTCGGCGGGGCGATCTTTATTGTACAAATCAGTGGTCGATGTTGTGTTGCGAAGGTTTTATAGGTAACTGTCTTGCGTCTGTTACGAGCCCTTGATCGCGGTGCCTGACAAGGACAAAACCAATTTGTGTTGCGAATCGGTGGGGGGGGGGGAGCTCGGATCAATCAGGTGAAGAATGTTTAGTCTAGGCGGTCACCTGTACATTAAATAACACCACCTGAATTAATGGTTTACCTAGCGCTATTCTACTCTTCCACTCTCAGTTCATGTATTAACAATCAAAGGTGTTGGTAATAAAAATGACTACTCACGTCGGGTCGCTTCCACCGACCCACCGCTCGACCAGCACCGTCTTCGAATATGTAGCATACAAAATAGTGGTCATAACAGGGTATCTGAACAATCGTTGGACTAGGAAAATCTAAGGGCTCCAGCTCTGCGGGTCTGCCACCAGCACGACGATTCGGGAAGATCGAAGTGGTTGACTGACTTGTGGGCTTTTTACCCCGGGTGGCCGTGAGTGCAGCGTGCGTTCCCGCACGATCACGGGTAGAGCACGCTGGGTCATGGCGACAGTTACCCGCAGGCGGCGACGCACCCATGGTTCCTAGAAGCGATCCTCGCATTCGCCACACTCCAGCCACCAGAGAACCACTTATGGGCCTCGGTCTCGACCCCCGTCTGAAGACCTAGCGCACGGCAGCTGCATAGAATCACCTTGGCCTAATCCTACCTGGGGGAGAAGTAGATGTTGGTATCGTTACTTTAAGTGGTCCAGCGGCGGCAATTCAAGGGAGACACTCGACCTCTACTCGTTAGTGATTGACAAGTAGCAGCTACAGCTAACAAATCACACCTGCGGTTACTAGTGAGAAACAGCATTGATGAAATGTGTTGGTATAGAAAGAACAAAAAACAAATGAAGTGTGTTAGTAACGGCAGCGAAATAACGGAGTAAATTGTATTGTAAAGGTCATGACGCAAGGCATCGGACGGAACTCATCGACAGAAACGAAAGTACCCTAAATTCACGACTGACACCCGGACATTAAACCTGAAATACCGAAAATTAAAATTAGCGAGTAGGTTAGAAACGAAGGAGCAAACTTAAGAGTGGATTATGAGTCGTGAAAGATTGAGGTAAGGATCTCGACAAAGAATCTAAAGACTGAAAGGCACAAACACAACAACACCTGAACAAGCGATTTAAATCCCTCTGTAATTCTAGCTCACTTTCTGGCCTACTACGTCGTCGGAACAATTTGCCGACCCATATGTATTAACAGACGGTATCGCGTTACTCTAGGTGTATTAAATCGCGATTGTCACCCGAATCGTCGAAATCATGTTGTGAATTACTCAGCCTGTATTATGGATCTCGAACTGAACTAATCTGTCGTACGACTGGGTTAAATATTTGGATTACTGGATTATAAAGACACATGGAATATTTTGCATTGTTTGAAATATACAGTGCGTTTCAAAAGTATGTGCACACCCAACATTTTGTTTTTTTTTGGGATACCAGTGCTTTCTGTAACCTGTGACCTTCACAATTCAATTCCTTGTGTACGATAACCTACGAACACTTTCTCTGAGAAAGCATCGTAGCTGCTGACATAATTTTTTTATTAAAGAAAAAATTTTCCTTTGTTTCAAAAGTGTGTGCACACTTAGCAAAAAACAAAAACATTTACCGAGATCAGAAACCAATTGGGCCCACTCCATTTCTGTAAAGGTTATCGACTACGGGGAATCGTTTGAGAATGGTTTCGTT